ATGTCTGAATGTTGAAGTGAATTTGGTATTTTAGACATCTAATGTTTCTTTGTCTTTGTTTTATTTCAGGAATGTTCTACCTGAGCTGAAATCACTTGCTTTGGGGTTTCATTCCCTGATAATGCGAGGAATAGGTATTAAATTTATTAAATCCAGGATCGAAATATTCATGTCATAGCTCAAATAAAATTAATTTTCTTTGTAAGAAACCATAAGGAAACTATAAATTATAAGAATTTCTGCTGGGGTGATGTCTCAGTAGAATAAGTGCTTGCCTGGCAAGCACGAGGGCCTGAGTTCAATCCCCAGTTCTGCCAAAAAAAACAATCAAACAAAAAAAAAAAAGAATTTTTATTTTCTTTCTTTTTTTCCCATAATTTTATTGATAAACAAATAGCAATGAGACAGTTTCAAAGAATTTTTATTTTCTTGAAAAACTGACCTAAAAGAGAACTTGAGCATTGATTTTAAGCTCAATCTGTTAAGATCAAGGAATCATTGCATTTGTATTGCATGTACAATTAAAAAGATAGGCAATTCCCGGTGTTCTTGATTTTGGGATATTCTTTCTAGGTAGTAAAGTGGAGAACTCTTGTTCTAAATTAAAAATCTATGTGAGTGACGCTAGAATCAGGTTGGAAGTTGTGGGAATTTCAAAGCTAAAGAGGTGAAAAACAAAAACTAAGAGTGTTTGCATAGCTCCCCACTGCTGAGTCTTGTAATCCTGGGTAGCTAATCTTTATTAGAAGTTAAAATGTAAGGGAGAAAGAGAACCCAAACTCTGGGATTAGGCATCTTGGATTAAGAGAATATCTAGATGAACAAAAGCTCAAGATGTTCTGAGATTTATTGTCAAAGAGTACATTTCAGATTTCCAAATTGGCCAGGAGTAAATTCCAGATGTTAAAGATACATATACTTTCCTTATGTTTTCTTACAAAGGAAATTAATTTTATTTTTAAAAGACCAGTTAAAATTTTGTTGTTGTAGGATCTCACTATACACCTTGCGGGCAGGGCTGGTGAGACATGTGGTGCTGGGGACCAAACTGCAGTCCTTGTGATTGCTTAAGCTTGCCTAAGCAGGCAATTTAGTCGGATGAGCTATCTCACCAGCCCCTGTTTCTAAATATTGAAATGAGTTGATTTTTCAGAAATTTAGAAAATCACCCTCTATCCCTTTTTGCCATTTGACTTTTTACCTCCAGCAGTCCTTATGTTAAAATAATGTCTAACTCTACTGGATATCTCTTGGTAAGATTTACAAATAGCATAGGGGAATCCTTCATCTAAGGACTGGGAAGAGGGCTAATCCTGGGCCAGAGGCAACCAGTGACAGTAAAAGGAACAGGTTGGGGAGAGGCTAGTCCCTGGGGTCTCTGGAAGTCAAGGAAGCAAGCCTAAGACTGTGGCCGAGTAACAGTGGAAACCAGGTCAGGGAGTCCATTTGAAAAGAATGCCACAGACCCTTAAAAGTGAAAAGAAATACTGTAGGGGATTCTAAGGAAGAGAACTGGAGGTGCTGCATGATTCCACCCAGGCCTCTGTCCAGCAATCTCTGCAGCACATCACTCTCTGGCAGCCTTTGAACCTGGCAGCTCTCCTTAACTAATGGAAGTGCTCCCTCCCTGGACCACAGAAGCCGCAGAAGTTTGAAATAGAATCTGTGGTCCAGCAAGAAAGCTCAGCAGACTGAAGTGCATGCTTAGGAAAGCTTAAGCAAGTACAGGGATCGTGATTTGATGCCCAACACTACATGCAGCCCCAGTGCCACCCCGCAGAGCAGGCGGAGCTGGCCATAGTCTGGGCGTGGTGTCATGTGCCTGTAATCCCAGCGCTGGGGAGATTGAAAGTGGGAGGATCATCACAAGTCTGAGCTGTGTAGTGAGACCCTGCAACAACCAAATACATTAATAATAATAAT